TTGAATAAAAAAGAATTATTGATAAGGTTTGGATTGGTCATATAAAATGAGTATTGGGATGACAATTTCTATCCTATTTAATGGATATGCCCATCCGTACCCATCTAGTTGGGTCTAGGGATGGCAATTTTACCCACAATACCGGGTCCCCAATTCGACCCGCCCCGAACACGGTGGATTTTCCCTGATCATAAATGGGGACAGGTCGGGTTCGGGAACTTTTCTTTTGTCCCGGATCGGGGATAGGGCAAGGATGCAGTCTACATATAAATCTCCAAACCCGCCCGACCCTAGTTATGAATTACAAAAATACCCTTTTATATATAGGTAATAGGTAAGTTAGGTTTTGGAGTTTGGACTTTTGGTTTTGTTTCTCTTCAGTCATTGACTCTTCTCTTCCTTCGCAAATTACAATTCAAGACTTTGTTTGCTGACTACCAAAGAAGAGGAACTGCCGACTGCTAGAGAAGAGGAACCATCGACTATTGTAGCAGCAGTGACCAGTTATAGAAGAACTATCATATATCATTCTTCCTCTCTCTGTTCATCTACTGACCACCGAGCGCTACCGTTGTCGTAGCAGTAGTGACTAGTTATAGAGGAACCATTGTATGCCTGTATCTATCATTCTTCCTCTCTCCATTCATCTGTCGACCGCCGGGCACCGCCACCATTGTCATAGCAATAGTGACCAATTACAGAGGAACCACCATATCTATCATTTTTCCTCTCTCCGTTCATCCATTGAGTTTCTCCCTTTGTAATTGTGTTTCTCCCTATAATAGTGTTTGTAATTTCTGACATCGCTTGCAAACTTACAATTTGATGGATGAGAGTAAGAAGATAGAAGTCTGGCATCAGTTGTTGCATTTTAGTTGGTCAAGTTGTATCTCATTACTCATTAGCTTATAGTTTGATACTAGCAGAGTAATCCCTCAAATCCCCTGTTTGGATAAGTGAGAGGGAATCGAAGATGAATACATCTTGAAGCTTTTCTATGATTACCTCTTTTGTAGAGTCAAGATGTCTATAACATCTCAGTGGTTTCTATCAAAGGAAATGCCAATTCATAGTGTCCATTGGATTTATTAAGTTTTACAGAAGTCCCATTTTTGAAGAAGGTCAGACCCTCTCGGTTAGGCAATGGGATTGCAAGAATCGTATCAGTCTACAGACAGAAAGTACAAATAGATGTTCTCTATTCAGTGTGGATATAGACATTGAGAAAGAAAACTTAGAGTAATACAATCATTCTCTCCAAATGGACCTATTTCAAAAGAATCTCTTAAATGTTGCTTGATGTTTCCAGCTAAAGATTCCTTTTGGAGTAATATAGTCAATCTTTTGGAGTAATACAGTCATCCTTGTTGTTTCCGGTTGAAGTTAGAATGTACATAATGAGTTATCTTATGTAAAGTAATGTTTATGCTTCTTCCTGGTACTCTTGCCTTATCCATAGCTTTATGCGTGAATGTTGGTTGATGAAGTTCGATGTGTTATGTATTCTTTTTATATAGGAAAAGAAGATCGGAATTAGTCTTAAGGAATCTTGTTCACTTCTATTTTTTTTTTTTTACTTGGTAATGGAATATACTTTGAGTCTCACAAAAAAGAAGTAGTAATATGCCTATTTAACAAACGTTAACTCATTATAGTAACAATGCAGAAAAGAGTAGGCTGCCTGTGATCAATGTTGAGGAGTTGGAGCTTGAACAGTTCATACATATTAGGCTCATCTTGGATCCAACTCAAGATTGGATAAGTTATAGGATTGATTGTAGAAAAGTTTAGTGAGAAATTGACAGCATAAAAGAAGAGATACATTTCTTTTGGAGGGGTGTTCCGTGTTCTTTCGGCATAAAAGAAATTGCCTTGTTCTTGCATGGCAGCATGTGCTTTTGGAGTAATACAGTCATTGGGGTGGGCATATATCGAGGATTACCCGTCCCCAAGTTCAATGGTTGTGGGGCGAGGACATGTTGGGGATTCCCCATACCCGACAGGGCTGGGATGGGGGTTGAATCTTTACCTCGATATCGGAGACGGGGTGGGGACGGGTTAGGGGATTTTAGCCATGGGGCGGGGGAGGGGGAGGGGGTGCCCCACCCCATTGCAATTCCTAGTTAGGTTTGTTTCTGCTTGAAAACTAGATTTTGAAGTCATAGGCTAAATCGAACCCTCCTCTGCATATTGTTGGAAGGTATATGAACTTATGTATTATGTTTTATATTTAATAATATTTTGAATTTTATATGAATAATAATTGATAGTTTATATGTTTTTGCATGTTTTAATCAAATAATTGAGAATTTTGTTGTTTATGTTATTTTACTTATTTATTGTTTATATATAACAGAAAATAATTAGAATTAGATGCAAGGTTCTAGACCCAACCCCATCAATCCAGCCCACCTCACCCTCAAATGCAGAAAGAGTAGGATTGAAAAGGATTTTGCATTTTCAAATGCGGAAGAGTGCTTGAATTCTTAAAATCCAATCCACAATGAGTTTTGAAGAGGATAAGGGTTGGGAGGCTTAAGAAGGTGGAAAACAGGGGTGGAGCCAAGTATATTGGTGGGGTCCTTTGCCCCTCCAAAATTTGAGTAGTTAAAATGTAAAAGATCCCTCTCTAATGCTTCTCCAACTCCTAAAATTAATATATACAGTTTTAAAAAATTAATAGTAGATTCAAACTTTCAAGCCATTTTTCTCCAAACATTACCTCTTTTACTCCCTATTTCTTTTTTTTTTTCTTTTTTGTTTAACTTGACCCCTCCAACGGAAAATTCCTGACTCCCCAGTAACGCTCCCCAAACCCTCCCTGTTTGCCATCCCTACACTTCACTGTGAACCCTTTTCATAAAATGTATGCATAAGAACCCATTTAAAATTGGAGTCTCTTTTCTTGTAATGAAAAATTTTCTTTATTCAACCGAGGTTCAATCTTAGACGACTCAGACTATTATTGATCATAATTGAGGCAGAGACTCAATAATTGTTGCACGTTCTTTCAATGCCCAGTCTAGACGTTGTATCGGGATCCTTCCAAGTTCCAATAAAACCCAACTACACTTCAAAATTTAAAGGTGAGACACATGCAAACATTTCAAAATTTAAAGGTTTGGGATGATAGAAGGCATCCCTTTAATGCTGATAAAAAAAATGATAAATAATTTTCAAATAAATCGTTTTATTCAAGATTTGTAAGATTGAAAGTCATTACAAAAAGAAAAATAAACTGTCCTTTTAAATAAAAAAATAAATAGTTTTCATTAAAATAAAAAATTTTAAATTCTTAAAAAATAAAACATATACAACCTCTCTTTGCTAATACTAGGCCCTATCGGGTCCCACATAATCCCTCTCTGCCCAAAACAACCCTCTCTTTCTCCATTTTGATCACATATTGTCCAACCAAAACAATGATAGTCTTAGTTGAACACAATAGCTATTTAGTAGACTATGTAACTAATAATAACGCTCCACTCTAGTCATAAAATACATGGAACTCCAACCTAAAATTAAATAAATAAAGTAATTAATTTTATGTGATTGAATTATGTCAAATAAATTAAATTGATTTAGATAATTGAATTATGTCAAATAACTTAAATTCATTTAATGAATTTTTTAAATATTTTGTTAATTAATTTTAGACTTAATAATTATATTTTTAAAAATATTTTTTAAACCATAAATAATCAAATTAACTATATTAAAAGCTTAGGTCGTGTTTGGCAAGTCTTTCCGTGCGGATTTCAAGCTGTTTAGAAGTCTGGAAGCTTGAATTCTGGCTTTTTCTGTTTGGCAATAGAAAGATCTATTAGGGAAAAGCTCCAAACCATAAAAGATGCCAGAAGCCCGAATTTGGGCTTTTTCAAGAAGCTTCAAATGAAACTTTTATAGTATTTTAGCACCCTGCCTTCTTCGAACGTGTGGCACGATGCACACGTTTGGGAGAAAATGGGTTAATCTTTCCACAAGATCTATTTGAATGTGTAAGTGGGACCTACCAATGGTATGTGGGACCCACCTTGTAAAATATATGTGGGCCCCACACATGTCCACACATGGACTCACATGCATATCCACCAATGGAATGTGGGGCCCACCTTGTAAAATGTATGTGGGCCCCACATACATGTCTACACATGAACCCTACATGCATGTCCACCAATGATATGTGGGGCCCACCTTGCAAAATGTATGTGGGCCCCACATGCATGTCCACACATGCACTCTACATACATATCCACCAATTGTATGTAGGGCCCATCTTCAAAAATGTATTTAGGCCCCCATACATGTCCACACATGGATCCACATGCATGTCCATCAATAGCATGTGGGGCCCATCTTGAAAAATGCATGTGGGCCCCACATGCATGTCCATACATGGACTCCACATGCATAGTCACCAATGGTATATCGGGCCCACCTTGTAAAATGTATGTAGACCCCACATATATATCGACATATGGACCCCACTGCATGTCCACCAATAGAATGTCGGACTCGCCTTGTAAAATGTGTAGACCCTACATACATATTCACCAATGGTATGTGGGTCCTACGTATTAAATGAAAGATTAATTGACTCACACACAAGACATTTAGTTACCATATGGTCTTCTAGTTTTTATGGTCATTTGTGAGATCTATATAAAATTTTTTAACCAAATAGTCTTTAGTTTTCCAAAATTTATTTGTAAAAACTCACCCTATCTTTTAACCGGCAGATCTTATAACATATATTCCGGAAAAGACTTGCCAAACAGGCAATTAGTTATATCAAGTGGTTACACTATAAGAAAAACCTTCTAAGCCGGCAATTTAGAACCGGCAGTCTAAGACTGATGCCATAGAAAACGCTAAGGTAGAAGGTTTGGAAAGACCCCCACCTCCAAAATCAAAACTCGTGCCGGACAGCAGACAGTCTTTCCATCGTTTATAACTTTGAATCACATTTGAACTAGTCCAAACCCATTCATTTATAACTTTAAACCAGATTTAAACCGGTCCAAACGTAGTGCATTCGAATCAACATATCAACCAAAAGCAAAGTTCCAAATAGAGGGAACCCCGTCTTCTCCTTCTCACCTTATGCTATTTGTTCCCGTGTTCGAGTCCAAAGAGAGGAATCCAAGAGCGAATATAGCTTTTGGCATAATACTTTGAGAGAGGGAATTCAAGAGATCGATCAAAGGGAAAAAGACGTTTGCTACTTCTCTTGTTTGTGATGGCTCTATATGATCATCATTCGGATGAGAATGATTGATTGAGAAAATGCCCGAGAACGAGTGAAAAATCGGCATTGCAAGCTTGAGAAGGTTCCAATATTTTTGTGAATCGATCGTTTGATAAAGCTCCAACATCAATCCTTTTCCTTATCTAATAGTTCAACCAAGAGAAGGTAATTCTCTAACCCTCTTCCAATTGATCGTTTTTCCTCATCTAATAGTTGTATTTTGGGGATAATAATTGTATTATGAGAATAGTCGGTAATAGGGTTTTCTCCCTATCCTTTTAAATCTTGAATCACATCTATATACACATGCCCTATTGAAGCTATAAAATTTAGTGCTCTAGTAATTCGTTTCTATTTCATGTTCCAAACTGATCTACGGCTTGTTCATTAAGGTATGCAAAACTTATTTGACTAAGTTAACTTTTATTTCCTTCCCTCTATGTTTTCGTTTCTATCATCTTCCTTAGGGTTGATCTCAGTATTCGTTATAAGGATTTGTGAAGCTATTGTATCCTTTGGCATGGTTGGATTGAGGACAAAATGTCTTTCCCTTATAATCATTAGCTGCTGTTAGTGCCAACCTCCCCACCCCTAACTGGAAACCCCTGAAATTCTTTATATGTATAGAATAGATTGGTGGTCGATTCAAAGAGAACAAATTTACTCAATTAACTCATCCAGTACTAGTCTTATTCCTTTCTCTTGAAGGTGCTACACCTATAAACTTCCAAATCATTCCAGACCTGAGCATGAAGAGTTGGACCATGCAGTTGCACTTTCTCTCGCTGATGACTTGAAAAGGCATATTGGTAAATTTAGTATTTGACCCTTACAAACACTCCCTCACCCTATTCAATATTTGGGATTTCTTCAAGATAAAGAAGACACACAAACAATGATGAAGACCTAGATGGCAAACTAAGTCAATATGCCAGGGGCCTTGGGTAGGACCAATAAAAAAAGAAAGAATTACTAATAGAAAGACACATTGCAGCCAAGTCCTATTAAAATCAAAAGAGGTGTTAATAGCATATCCAACAGGATGACCCTTTGATTGAAACACCCTATTGTTTCTCTCTAATCCAACAGCCCAAATTACTGCCAAAGGAACCGTAGTCCAACGAATTTGTCTCTCCTGTTCTTGCCATTTACCCTCCAAGCATTGAGCCACATTGACACAGACTCCAGATGACAACCTTGGAGATGAACAGTCAACAAAGTTCATGGCTTATCAAGTTATGGACTTGATTCAACTAGGCAATAACTCACAATCTTATAAACAACTTATGGGATTTCCCAGAGATAAATTTCTTGACATTTGTCTTGATTGGTTATGGCAGTTCATATATGCATATTCCTCTCAAATACCGTAGTGGTTGCAACCATGAAATGGGTTGTGGCAAATACTTAGGATGCATACAAGCTTTTTGGAACCTAGAGTGCTTTTGCTGTCATTCCTGTGGTTACCCAATCATTGAGCATGAGGTACATTATTCTTTGTTGGGGTTTCAGTACTCTTTTCATCTAAGTAATATTGATTTATTGCAGGAGGCTTTAAACTCTAGAAGCCCTACCTCTTTTTTCTGTTAAATCAATTAAACTATATTATAAAATAAAATGTCAAATGTTTATTATACCTTGTTCTTACATTTTTATTTGTCAAATCAAGTTTTCTTTGTGAGGAAAAAATCCATACCTCTTGCCTTCAAAGAATTGCACCATTCCCAAGTGTGAAGTTTTCCTTCAATTTGTAAGCAAAGTTTCAGTATATTTGAACTTCATTGCTTGTTTTTACTTTATTGAAGGAAAATGAATAAATTTCAACCACTAAACCCAATATTGATAAATTAGAATAGTCTTCCTATAACTGTTTTGCTTGCTACAGTGTTGTTGCTTCCATAATGTCTTCTTTGAAACAACCAACCATTAGAGTTGTGGCCATCATAGCTGAAGGTGTTCCAGAATCAGATATTAAGCAGCTGATTACATATGCATGGTTGAATAATAAGGTGAAAAGAGATCATGATAGAAAACTTTAGGTTCATTTAAATGTCTCTTGCATCACATAATGAAATTCCATTACTTGGATACAAAATAATTGAATGCTATATGCTTCAATGAATGACACAATAAGTTGGCACGGTGTTCTTGTTTTTTTAAATTTATAGGCAGACATGGATTGATTGTTCACTTGGATCAGAGATCTGGGAACCATGAATTGGTTGTTCCCATCCTAGAGAACTATACACCAAATAAAACAAGGATGATCAAGGTTTGTATCTGGTACTATTGTTGTTTCTACCTTAATGGTGATGGAAACACAAATCTAATTTCGCATCTGTTTGTACATCAAAAAATGGATGAAAAGGTATAAGAAACATAGCTAACTGTAAGTGGTTGAATATCTTCTTGTTGCAGGAATGGTTTCAATTGAACACGTGCTTCCAAGAATCCAGCTAAAACTTGCGTTCTAATGTACTGCTTGGCTGCAAGAAAAAGACAATTTGTTTACTTTAAGAGATCTCCCCAAAATTGAGATTCTACTAAGGTTGGATTGAGTTTTTTTACCTTATCTATGTTTTCTACAGCAAGATGAGAAATCTGAACTACAGTTTTTTTTTACCTTATCTATTTTGTGTAAAAGTGAATTTTTTCATCCATACAATTGTTGATATTGCGTCATTATTAGTGCATTGGACAGCGGTCCATCCTGAATTTGAAGGTGTCAATAGGGCTGCATCTGGGTCAAATTTTTGGTTGATATTGAAATACTTTTCTTCTTTATTATGACATCATGGTGGTCAAATTCAGGTTTGATTTTGAATATAATATTCTAGGCCAAATGAATATTTGGATTATATTGTTGATATGTATGTTCTATTTATATTAGAATACAACAACAGATTAAGAAATTTCATTTTATGTTTACCAAGTTCAACTTATATCTTATGATTATTTGAGAGAGAGAGAGAGAGAGAGTAGACATGCAACGGTGGGCATTTGTGGTTAAGCTTTGCTTCTATCACCATTATCTTCATTTGCATCATCTTTTCTACATTATGATCTTTGAATCCTGACATGTTCTATAATAAGACTACTAGTTTTTGGCAGTTTGATGATCCAAAGGATAACCATATCTCACAAAAAACAACTTTTTCAAGGAATCCATGTTGAATCCTTCTAGATATACCTCCAAAATTTCATCCACAAGCTTCTGGCAGTGAGCTAGGAGAAGAAATGAGTTTAAAAGGAAAAGCTTGGGATGGGTGTTCCTCAATCCATTTCTTCTCAGAAATTAATATATCAATCAAGCATAGGAGATCGCTTGGCATGAGGGGGGCTTTTTATCATGTTAATATATAGTTGTTCTTTTCATCCAAGAGGCCATCAAGGTATTTGTTTGATCTATAGCGAAATTTATTATGATTTTAAAACATCTATTGAATGAAAATTGTTGTTAATATGTCAATTGGATATTATTGGAGAATTTGAAAAATTTTTATGCTCTTGTATTGTTAATATGTCAATTGGATATTGTATTTGAATAATTTATTTTGGACTTTTTAATATAATTAATTTTTAAATTATAGATGTTTTAAATTACATTTTTTATTTATATTTTCATGTATCAGTTGTCGTAGGATTCGTATTAAGTAGTATTAAAATATTGAATCATTAGAAAAAATCAAGTACCAAAAATGCTGAAATTAAGTATGCATATAATTTTTTTTAAAAGAAAAAGGTTGTTACCGTCCGTCATTATTCGTTGGCTGGTATAAATAAGATGAAACTTGGTGTCACAGGACCTAAGGCAGTGGTCAATGTCTGCGAGCGTTGCTGTTGATAAAACCAAAAGCGGCCACTGGAATAAGTTTGAGATGTTTTGCAATCACTGACGTGGTGGTCAAATAGGACCTAGGGCGGCGGTCATCACCGCCACCTTAATTATGCAAATTTGGCAGTCCAAAAAGAAACACCGCTTTAGAGAACTTTGTGCTGCCTTGGGCCGGCAAGCAAAGGCGGCAGTTTTTCCGACCTAAGCCAGCGGTCTTTAGGTTTAAATCAACGGTTTTGAGACCATTAGCTTAGACCATTTTTCTTGTAGTTTATTAGGAGACAGGACAAACCAGTTGAATCGTGTCTTTCAACTATTTGAAATTAAAGCCCATCGATTCAATAGCTTCAACAAAAACGATTCTTGTTAGGCTTGTATAGTCTACTACTCTATAAGACAAACAAGAATTAATTTGACACAGATAGAGGTAGATCGAGAAAACTATCCTTTTAGGTAAGGCAATGATTCACATAAGACCCATCTCATATGTCAATATCCTGTGTGGGTTTTTTGAAAAATATTGGGTAGTGTCAATTGGTCATTGTATCTCGCTAGTTCTTATTTGTCATTTTTAATCACTCACACATTCACACTTTCTCTCTCTTTCCCATTATGACATTGAGTCTCACATAACCCCTTTCTTTCTCTCTCTAATGACATTGGGCCTCACCAGGTCCCACACAACCCTCTCTTTAACATCAGACCCCATTAGGTTTCACACAACCCCTCTTTCTCGCTAACATATATAGAGCACCATCAGGTTGCACACAACGCTTCTTTCTCTCTAACATTGGGTCCCACATAACCTTTTCTTTCTCTATCTCTCTTTCTCTCTCCCTAACAATGGGTCCCATCAGGCTCACACAACTTCTCCCTCTTTAACATCATACACTATTAGGTTTCATCAAGGTTCAAAATATCACCCGATATGTATTGTATCGAGTTAAGGGATGGGAGATCCATCATATGGATGGTTGAACCCTGTAGAAAGATTGGGCGAAATTTCAAAAATTTCTTTATTCTCATTTGGGAATCTTATTCTCAATTTAGAAAATTGCATTTTCAAGGTTCGTTCTTGTAATCAAACCAAACCAAATCTGAAACCAAAATGAGAGAGGGATATACATAATATGGAATCTACGGAAGAATGCTCCTCCCAACGTAGGTGTTTACGCCCAAAGAGAGTACCAATTCCTCCTTCCACTGAAGATGACACAACTTAGGGTGAGACAGGATCAACAGGTAATTCTTCATTAAGAACTAATGATTTTTTAGCAAGAATCAAATGGGATAATGAGCACAGCTTCTAGATTGTTTCTTCTCGCAAGAAACAATATCAAGATCCAATTTTGATCGAATCCAAGAACTAGAGATCAAACAGGGTGGGGCGGCAAGACCAAGAAGAAAAAGAGCAGAAGGCAAGAGCAATCTAACTGTTTTGTCTTCTCTCCTTATTCAGTGAATGTGTCTTTGGAGGTTCGCCATGCTCTCTTATTTATAGCCTTAAAGAGAGAATTTTCTAATCCTATTAGAAGTTTCTTAATCCAAATTTTCTGAACTCTTTAAGTGATAAGGATAATCTCTTATCTTATTTACAGATAAAGATCAGCCTTCCTAATCAAATTAAGATTTCCTTTGATTCAAATATTTATTTGGATCTGGATTCTTTAAGTGGATAAGGATAATCCCTTATCTTATCTGTTGATCCAAATCTCTGATCCACCCCTATTTAATTAATCTAATTAATCCAGTTCAAAATGGGCTTTTATGCCCATTAAGCTTTCGGGCTCACTTCCACTTTAATGCTAGCTAGCTTGGCTCTCTTTGTATAGCGTGAGACCCTATTATTGATCTACACATCAGCCACATGAGTTTAGCCTAGCCTCTGTTACAAGGCTTGGCCGAATTCACTATTGAATACAGTGAACCCCTGAGTCCATCACTATGGGCTCTTAATGGGCCCAACATTTACACTAAATGGTCCTTGGGTCCAGCCATCTTATGAATGCCCAATGACTGTGGGCAGATACAAGATTAGCTCATTAAGTATAACCCTCAATGGTCTTACACTTAACCTCTCAGTCCATAATGATCAAACACTACCTGACAAGAGAGGACATCTCACTCGGTTGTAAAGTACAATGCTATACTCTCTACTCACATGGATCCCGGGAATTAAAACATTTTGCAAACATTTTGAAACCATATATATCTCTCTATATAAATATATTTTGCAAAACAAATTTCAACGATTGAAATAAACTACCGATAGTTTAGGTTTTCATCAAAGATAGTGCATCCTCGATCATTCACTTTGTTCGACAAAGGGACTGATCTTTGTCACTATGATTACCCACTCAAATGAATTCTTAGACTATCCCAACATACCCAGGTTTTGACCCCTTTAAAAATCTCACTGATTGGCATATCAAAAACAACCCAATCCGATACCTAGTGCAATATCATAATTGAGTCTAGGGGTCAGGTGTAACATTTCAGTTTTGCCCATCTATCTCCAAGGTCCAGGGCAATACTGGAATTTTGGTCCGATTTAGGGTTTCAAGAAAACTTACACTACATGTACCTCAGGTCTCACTTTCGAAGCTGAAACAAGCTACTCCAATTAACTTGGCAGTACACTAGTGTCAGCCTTGGCAGGATAAATCTCCTCAGATCTATCCAACGGCTATAAAGATTCTAAACTAACATGAGTCTCATATGTGTCTAGTTTAAGGGTATTACACAGAAACACATTATAATAACATGAATCAAATATGTACTTTATTCATTTACAATAAATGTCATAATGTACATCATGCTGATTGAAGCTAAGGACATACACTGTCTAACATCGGGGGCTTTCCGATACCTCCTATAAGAGGTGTTTCGAGGTCCCAACCTGTTCAGAGGGTGGATGGACCTTAAATCAGATCCTCTGAAATAGATTAAAAAACTAAAAATAAATAAAAATATTGAACCTTGGGTTCCACACAACCCCTCTCTCTAACACCGGGCCCCATCAGGTCCCACACAACCCCTCTCTCTTTAACATCAGGCCCCATCAAGTCCCACACAACCCCCTTACTCTCTCCCCTAACACCAAGCCCCATCAATTCCCACATGACACATTTCTCTCTCTTGACACCCGGCTCCATCGGTTTAGTGTGTCCCACATACCCCCTCTCTCTTTCTCTTTGTCTCTTTATATCCCCTCTCCATTTTGATCCATGTGTAATATAAATTAGTTAATTGATCCAAGTAAACTTGATTAAATTAAATATATTTTAACAAAGATAAAAAATAGAAAATAATGAAAAGATATCAAAGTCAAGTTATTAGTAATAATAGAAAGAATATTAAAAAGTATAAATTAATTAATTGATTTAAGTCCACTTTTATTAAATTAAAAATATTTTAACAAAGATAAAAATAGAAAAATGAAAAAATCACATCTTCTATTGATCACATTAAAAAATAATAAAAATCATAAAAAATATTTTAAGGATGTTAATATAACATTAAAAATACAGGGAATAATAAAAAAGTATAAGAACAAAATAATAAAATTGTTAAATTAATAGAATCACATCTTCTTCTTTGTTGAAATGACTTGTGTTGAATATTTTTTTTTGGTTACGGCTTATGCTATAGTTTTTTGTAACCACCACTTATGATAAAGTTAAGTGAAATTAATTAATATAATTAACTTGCTACAATTTAAGATTTAAATTATATTGACTTAATTGATGGAAGAATCATAACATACTACACATCTACCGCAGTTAGAGTAAAAAAAAAAAAAAAAAAACAAATTCCATACATATAAATGAAATAAAAATATAAAATATAAGTGCGAATCGTTCCAATTGGGGCTATGCGCATTTAAGTTAATAAACTTAAATATTTTAAGTTAAAGCAAAATATGTGCACAAAAATTAGAGCAAAAAACCATTGGTCGATGGGACTAGTTGATGGGTTTTTACACCTCACATGGTTGTTAAGGACCCTTCGTCCAATGGTTAAAGTTGGGAACCCAATGGTTAAAGACCTGTTTAAATTAAAGCAAAAAAACCATTGGTTAGTTGATGGGATTAGTTGATGGGTTTTTACACCTCACATGGTTAAAGACAAAGACCTGTCGTCCAATGGTTAAAGACATTAATATATATACATCTATATATATAGGTTATCTATATGTATATAGATACATTAGGTTATATAAAAGAAAGATTTCATTTCGTAAATGCCAGTAATAGGCCGTAGAACCTTTTTCTTTTAAGTTATATATATAAGAAAAAAAGCTTATTGCAGAATTTTGAATTATAGCCTCCTATAAATCGCATCTTGTTCATGAATTTAGCATCAATTCACAGTTAAGATTCATCTCTAAAATATATTGGATGGTCCAAAGCAATTCTTGAAAATTTAAAAATTTGGATAATTTATAATTTTCTTTAGTCTTTTAATCCTGTTGTTTTATTCATCTACCATGGGTCTTGAGGTGAATGTTTTAGATAGCTTTATTAAAATAAATCCTTTTCCATCTTGTAACCTGAATGTTTGAAGTAAAACCCACAACCGCGCGAATGTTTGCTTCTCAATACTTGTTTCTATAATACTTGTTTTTTCATTGATTTTGCCCATCACATTTCTATTCCCCAACAATTTTTTTTGGTATCAGAACAAAAAATTGTAGCCAGCTACATCAAGATTTAAAACTAAAACCCTCCGTGGCATCAAGGAACAACAGCTCTAATATTTTGGAATATCCTTTTCAAAAACTATAACTTCCTATAGAGAAAACTATAATTATTGATATCGGACCAACGAACTAACAACAAAACAAAACAAAGACTCCAACACACTATACCTAAACCTAACTTAGATTTCTCCAAAGCAGAAGCAATCCACCTTCCCTTCCTCAGCTCCAACCTACAAAGGTTGCCATCCAAACAACTCAATATATAAACCTCTGGACGCCAAAAGATGGGCAGCCGTATTACAAGAAGATCTATCTTGTAATGTCTTAATGGGTTTTCAGTCTAACAAACCCTTTGGGAGAAAACTAGAGGGAGATGACTTCTCTCTAATCATTTCGTTGATTACAAACAGACCTTGGGATATAAAAGTGAAATTGCAAAAACTGGATCAAATTACAAACAGGGTACAATCTAACAGGATCCTTAATTACCTTCGATTTATTTCCTCCGTGTTTGAGTCCTGGTTACTCTCCAATCCGGCATGGTTTAGATGGATATCACTTAGAAAAGAAGCAGAGGGACTAGGAGCATCTAGTATATCAGCAGTCCCTTCCAACATCGATATCACTTTTGTCATGGATGGCCGAAGTATTGGCTCGTCATGGAGGCACAAGAGGCCCACTCTGACCATCCTTTCCAATCTTTCCTCATCTACCACTTGATTACCAACCAGTTTCTGCAACTCACCAGCCTTGAAACAGTCATTGAAAGAATGGTAGGACTCATCGTATGGACGCCAAAAAGGTTGTGGAATGGGTGGGTGAATTTCAAAAATTTCCTACATTTCTTCAAACTGGGAATTATATTCCCTAAATTTAGAATACAATATTCAAGGATCCTACTTGAACCATAATCGAATTAGATCTGAACCAAAAGACAATGGAGGAATTATACCTGATCCAGATAAGCAATATCTCCCAAAGTTGGTGTTCACACCCAAAGAAGACACTAAGATCCGCTCCTGCTGAAGATGACACAACAACTGTGGAACAGAACCAGCAGGGTGCGTTCCTCACACCGAATCCTTCACAAGGACCCTCTGGAAAACAATGAGCAACAGACGAACAACCAAGAACGATTCTTGATCCTCTCGAACTGACAAAAGGGTTGGTGGCTACTGCTAGAGGAGAGTGCTAGAGAAGAAAGTGGCGAGCTGTTATTTCTTCTTTAGGGTTTTTGAGATACTTTTTCCAAAATCAAGAGAGTTCTCTTGAAAAGCTCCTAGGGTTCGAATTCAGGTAATTGGAATTAGGGTTTTCCTCCTCTAGCTTAATGATTAAGAAAGCCTCCTAATCATATCAGGAGTTGCCCTTATCCAAATCAGTATTTGGATCAGGACTCTTCTTAATCTTATCTGTAGATTAGGTTCGCTTACTCCTGGTTTTATTAGGAGATTACCAAATTCAAATCTGATTTGAATTTGGTCTCTAAGAGTGGATTAGGTTAAAAGCATAATCCTTTTGCTAACCCTAATCTTAGATCCGCCCCATAAGTGGGTGATCATATCAGCCCAGTTCGAAATGGGCTCTAGGCCCATTAAGTAATAAGTGCTCAATAAGTTTCCAAACTACTGCCCAATTGGGCTTCTTTGTATGGCGTGGGACCCAAGCATTGATCTACACACCAGCCATATGGGTTCGGCCTAGCCTTTATTACAAGGCCTAGCTGAATTCACTGGAAAGCCCAATGAACTCTTGAGCCCATCATATGGACCCTATGGGCCCAACATATAAAAACCCAAGGACTGTGGGTAAGTGCAAGATTAGCCCATCAGGTATTATCCTAAATGGTCTTACACTTAACCTCTCAGCCCATAATGATCAAGCACTGCCCGACAAGAGATGACCTCTCCCTCAATTGCAAGGAATAGTGCTGCAATCTCTACTCACATGGATCCCGGGAATTAAAACCATTTGCAAACAATTTGAAACCGAAATTATCTATATACCCTATATATATAAATTTTGCAAAACAAAATTCCAACGATTGAAATCAATTGTCGTCAGTTTGGTTTCCATCAGAGAGTGCATTCCCAATCATTACCTTTGTCCGACAAATGGGCTGATCCTGTCACTATGATCACCCACTCAAATGAATTCTCAGACTGACTCATCATACCTAGGTTTTGATCCCCGCTAAGGATCTCACTGATTGACATATCAAAGGCAGCCAAATCCAACACCTAGTGAAGTATCATAATTGAGTCTAGGGATCAGGTGTAACTTTCCAGTTTTGCCCATCTATCTCCAAGGTCCAGGGCAATACTGGAAATCCGATCCGGTTCAAGGGTTCAAGTAATCCTACACTACATGTGCCTTGGGTCTCACCCTGGCGACTGAGACAAGCCACCCCAACAGTTGGTAGCACACCAGTATCAGCCTTGGCAGGATAAATCTTTCTAGACTTATCCAATGACTGCGAACATTTAAAACTAACACGAGTCTCATTAAGTCTCCAGTTTTAGGGTCTTACACAGAATCGTACCACACAACATGAATCAAACATGCACTTTATTTATTTACACTAAATGTCAAAATTACATCAAATTAGATTGAAGTTAAGGGCATACAAAACTGTCTAACAGTCGTTGACCCAATACTTAAGATCAATCTCATCCTCAGGAGCATTATGATCCACTCTGCGACAACGACATACTAGTTCTAACAACACAACCCCAAAGCTGAAGACATCTGCCTTAACTGTTATGGGATTGTTCCCTAACCATTCCGGCGCCAGATATCCCGTTGTCCCTCTGAGTCCTGTAAAGGTATGAATTTGGTCTGGCTTCAACAGCTTCGACACTCCAAAATCAGCGATCTTTGGACAGTCCAACTCGTCCATGAGTTTGTTTTCAGGCTTTATATCGCAGTGGATGATTTGGCTCTCGCATTCATCATGCAAATATCGAAGGCCTCTAGCTATGCTTAAAGCAATTCCCACCCTATCATGCCAATGTAGTTGTCTTTCCTCCGTAAAGAGTAAATTTGCAAGTGATCCATTGCTCATGTACTCGTACACCAGAAGCATATTAGAGCCATCGTAGCAGTAACCAACCAATCGAACTAAGTTTCTATGATGGGTTTTGGCAATCACACGCATCTCAGTCCGAAACTCCTTCTCTCCGTCCAACATGTTATGCAGTCTCTTGACAGCGACCATCTTCTGGTTGTCGCCATCTGGTAAAGTTCCTTTGAAAACTGTTCCAAAACCTCCCTTGCCCACCTCTTCCTTGAAACCTTGTGTAATTTTTTGGATCTCAGCGAATGTAAACGATCTTAAAGCGATCTCCTCGGTTAATTCTATATTTCTTTGTTCTAGGATCCTCTTATACGCCCCAACGCGGTTCCTATAACTAAAAACAACAGAAAACACTAGCACAATGAATGCCAATGGTACCACTCCGATTATTATTAGAATGTCCTTGTTTCTGGTGCTGGTGCCATTTATTTTGCTTCTGCTTCCTGCCTTAACATAAACCATGGTCGACTGATCACCATTAACACTGCTTCTCCCATATCTCAACGGAAGCATCTGTTTTTTGCATTGTTGATTAAAAGTTACAGCTTCACAGCTGCAGTCCTTCAAACAGGCGTTTCTGCAATCTTCTTCAGTGGTAATGGACCATAAGGTAGTATACGGTTCATCTACCCATGTGGTATGGTCCAAAGGAAGCATGTTGTACTCGATGTTTTGGTTCTGGGTTCCACAACTCTCTGCACTAAAATTCCTCGCGCAGCCCCAAGTCTGTTGATTTTTGTTAATGAAATCGTAACCAGGTAGACATTGGCAATCAGCTTTTGAATCCACGAGAATACAATATGCATTTATGCCGCACAGCCCTTTGGGAACACAGTAATCGTTCGTTGAATTCCATACAATTGACCAATCACTGCTATTTCTATCCAAACTAGTCGTATAGAGCCGTAAGATCCCGTCGGCATCGATCGTCATGCGGTAAACCATCGTCTTCCCGGTAGCAAATCCACCGTTTGTTACATTTTTTATGTTGACACTGGTGCTGCTGAGCAAGCAGAGGTGGCCATCACTGTCAAAATTCAAACTAACGTGCTGTTGGGCAGATTCAGGACCCGAAGCCCAGTAAGCGTAAGGCTCCGTGAATGGAGCGTCTACGGGGTACTGCACCAGGTATCCATCCAGCTGCATGAGGAGACGAAAACTTCCATTGGAGTGATCGGTTTGTGAGACGCTAGAGATAATATCTGCTCCGGCCGGCAGACGCTGACCAGGCAAAAGAGTGTCCGTCGGATAGTTGAAGCTTTGCCATATAACCTCTCCTCTTGAATTACAGAGAACAAAGTTGCCAGAGTCGAGCAGAGAAGCGTAAGAGACAGATTGGTTACTATTAGTGATGGATTTGATGGTTTGGCCTTGGGCGGATTGCAAGATGAGCGCACCATCAGTTGTCAAGCGTAACGTAGTATTTCCTGGCACCGGCGGGTCTTGTCTGTTCGCTGTCCAAACGACAGTCTTCTGGTGGATTTCAGCAAACCAAATTCCAACAGCAAAAGCAAAGCCATTGCCGTATGAGTAAAATCCAAAAGCAAATCGGCCAGAAGGTGAGAGCCACGATGAGGTATTGGTGGTGGAGAGGGAGGAGCCCAAACTTATGTTGTGAGATGATCTTTGTTGAGCACCTGCTAGTGAAGAAAACACCGAAATTAGAAGAAAGAAAAGTACAGCAGCCATGAGGAGCACCTGCTAGGAGAGTTTTTCCCCTTAAAGTACGTACTCTTTATCTACCGAATCTGTTCTATCAAATCGAAGATCAAGGCTCCAACTCTTGTGTTTATAATGGCCCATCTTCAATTTGACGCCCCAGCCACGCAAGGCAGTCTATCAGATGAGTTGCACCCAACATGCACATTGTATCAATACCTGTTTATATATTGCAACTTGTACTCAGTGGAAGCATCACTTCTTGATAATGAGTACTTAGTACTTAGTGGGTGATTTACTTCCTAATTGGTAGGCATTATTTTGAGTTAGTGGACCATGTTTATCCACTTTCTAGTTTAATTGCTTATTTTTAGTTAAGGTTAGTTTTGCTTTAAGTCTATTTATTTGGACCCCTAGCATTGCTTTTCAAGTGAATAGAAATGGTAGTGGCTTTGTTTTCAACATAAAAAATTTCAACTTCCCAACAATTTTTTTGGTACGAGAGCCAAGTTGGGTCTTTATCTGAGCAAAGGGTAAAGTAAGAGAAAAAGAGTGAGAGAATCCCAATTGAGTGAAACACAGTGAGGCAAACATAAAACTGAGAAGAGAGAAATTCCGCCATGGCAAGCAACGGAACCACTTCATCAGCTCTGCCTCTAATTCCAGTCTTTTAAAGGGAAAAATTATCACTTATGGAGCCTCAAAATGAAGACCATGTTCAAGTCTCAAGAGCTGTGGGACCTGGTGGAGAAGGGATTTGAAGACACAAATCCGGCCGAGCCCGATCAACGGTTGCGAGAAACCCGTAAAAAGGATGCAAAGGCTCTATTCCTCATTCAACAGGTCCTTGATGAAGAAATTTTTCCAAGAATTGCAGCAACTAGCACCTCCACTCAAGCATGGGAGATTCTAAAGCAAGAATTTTTGGGTGACAAGAAGGTAATTACTGTAAAATTATAGACCCTTCATTGTAATTTTGAAACATTGGCCATGAAAGAAAAAGAATCTGTGCAAATATTTTTATCTAAGGTGTCTGGGATTGTTAATCATATGAAGTCATATGGTGAAAGTGTTAGTAATGAAACTGTTGTAAGGTTTTGAGGAGCTTAACCTCAAAATTCGATCATGTAGTTGCTGCAATTGAAGAGTCTAAGGACTTATCTACTTATACTTTTGATGAATTAATGAGTTCTCTGTTAGCCCATGAAGTTAGGCTGAGTAGATCCTATGAAAAGGTTAGGGAGAAGGCTTTTCATGTTAAGGGGGAGTTTCTTACAAGGGAAAGTCAGAAAATTTAGGAGGCCGGGGACAGGGCAGAGGTGGTTTTTGTGGTCGAGGTCGCGGTGCCAGTAGATGAAGAGGCCAATTTGGTGATCAACGCCAACACAAAAGCACTATCCAATGCTAATATTGCAAGAAATTGGGTCACAAAGAAGTAGATTGTTGGACCAAGCAGAGAGATGAGCAGAAGCAAGCCAATTTTATAGAGAAAGTTGAAGAGGAGAGCAAGCTATTCATGGCTCATTCTCCTATTGATAATGCTTCCAATGGAGTGTGGTTTTTGGATAGTGGATGCTCCAACCATATGTCTGGAACAAAGTCTCTTTTTAAAGAATTTGACGAGTCACAAAAAAGCGAATTTCGACTCGGAAACAAGCAGATGCAAGTTGAAGGGAAAGGTACAATTGCCATCAAAACCTCACAAGGTAATGAAAAACTCCTCCATGATGTGCAATATGTTCCTAATTTAGCTCATAATTTGTTGAGTGTTGGGCAATTGATGAATGGTGAATACTCTATTTTGTTTAATGATGGTTGTTGTTCTGTCCAAGATAAGAAAACAGGCCATATAATAGTTAGCATTCCTATGGCACAAAATAAAATGTTTTCGTTAGAAGTMTCTGAAGTAAGAAATTGTGCCTTGATTGCTAGAGCTAGTGATGCAAAAATATGGCATTTGCTTTATGGGCATTTAAATGTGAAAGGGCTGAAATTGTTGGCTCAAAAACATATGGTTGTTGGGTTGCCGAAAATTGATGGTCTTGATTTTTGTGAAGGTTGTGTTTATGGGAAACAAAGTAGAAATTCATTTCTTGTAGACAAGTTATGGAGGGCTTCTAATTGTCTTGAATTAGTACATGCTGATGTGTGTGGTCCAATGAGTATTGAATCATTTGGTGGAAGCAGATATTTTTTGTTATTTACTGATGATTACAGCCGCATGAGTTGGGTGTATTTCTTGAAACTCAAATCAGAAACTTTTGAAACTTTCAAGAAATTCAAAGCATTAGTGGAGAAGCAAAGTGGGCGTTGTATAAAGGCGCTTCGTTCCGATAGGGGTGGTGAATTTACCTCTAATGAATTTAATGTTTTCTGTGAGGAAAATGACATTCATAGGGAGTTGACAGCACCGTACACACCGGAGCAAAATGGTGTGGCTGAGCGGAAGAATCGAACGATAGTTGAAATGGCAAGAAGCATGATGAAAAATCAAAGGCTGTCATGAACCGGACCCCATATGAAACTTGGAAGGGTAGGAAGCCGYGGGTAAGCCACTTAAAAATTTTTGGTTGTATAGCCTATGCCTTAGTTACTTCTCCCATCCGTAACAAACTTGATAAAAAAATAAAAAAAATGCATTTTTGTTGGCTATAGCCCTTAATCCAAAGCATATAGGTTGTATAACCCTGTGAGTGGCAAAGTAATTATAAGCAGGGATGTTAAATTCAATGAAGAAGAAACTTGGGCCTAGAACAACGACAATGCAACACCTACAACACCTCAAATTACAGAAGATGCTAGTATAACCTCTGTGATAGAACCTCCAGAACCAGCTAGTCCATATGCTGATAGTAGCATCTCAACCATTCACTCATCTCCCTCCAGCAACAGTAGCGCATCTACTCCAGCAAGCTTGCAGTCCTCATCTTCAAGTTCTTCTAGTGAAACACCTCCAAAAAAATTCTGATCATTGAGGGATATTTATGCTTCATGTAGGTTTGCTTTGTATGTTTCTGACCCCACTTGTTATGATGAAGCTGTAGAAGGTTAAGTTTGGTAGGATGCAATGAAAGAAGAGATGTCGGCTATTGAAAGAAATGAAACTTGGGAGTTGATCAATCTACCAGAAGGCAAGAATGTTATTGGGCTCAAGTGGGTGTACAGAACAAAGTATCATGCTGACGGTATTATACAGAAACACAAAGCTCGGTTTGTGGTGAAAGGGCATTCTCAGCAACAAGGTGTTGACTTCGAAAAACCCTTTCTCCGGTTGCTCGCTTTGAAACAGTGAGAACCTTTCTAGTCTTGGCTGTACAATTAAATTGGGTTGTGTACCAGTTTGATGTTAAATCCGCCTTTTTGAATGGAGAACTAGAAGAAGAGGTGTATGTTTCTCAACCTAAAGGTTTTGTTAGTGGCAATGACAACAAAATTTACAGGTTAATGAAGGCTTTATATGGCCTAAAGCAAGCCCTGCGAGCGTGGTATAGCAAGATCGACTCCTACTTTTAGGAGAATGGATTTGAAAAGAGTAAAAATGAGCCAACGCTTTATGTGAAGAAGTGAGGTAACTCTGAATTTTTGGTGGTGTGTCTTTATGTTGATGACATAATTTATATGGGGTCTTGTGAGTCTCCTGTTGAGGAATTTAAGTCTTGCATGATGAAAAAATTTGAGATGTCAGATTTGAGTTTGTTGCATTATTTTCTTGATTTGGAGGTGAACCAAAGTGCAGATGGGATTTTTATTTCTCAAAGAAAATATGCTATTGATTTGTTGAAAATGTTCAATATGTTAAACTGTAAAACAGCTCCAACTCCCATGAATGTGAATGAGACAATCGTAACTAATGATGGCACCAGAATGGCGAATGCGAGGTATTTTAGAAGTATGGTTAGCGGTTTGAACTACTTGTCTCACACAAGGCCCAATATAGCATTCCCTATCAACGTTGTTTCTAGATTTATGCATAGCCCAACAATGCATCACCTCGAGTTAGCAAAGAAGATCCTTCGTTATGTTGCTGGAACTGTTGATTCTGGAATTTGGTACTCAAAAGTATTAGATTTCAAACTTTTGGGTTTTACTGACAGTGACTGGGTAGATTGTTTGGATGATAGAAAAAGCACTTCCGGCTATGTTTTTTCCCCTGGTTCAGGTGCTATTTCATGGAGTTCAAAGAAGCAAGAGATCGTGGCCTTGTCATCATCAAAAGTGGAATATGTCGCTACAACGACATCAGTTTGTCAAGCAGTTTGGCTAAGGAGATTGCTAGTTGATTTTTGCCAAGTTCAAGAAGGTGTAACTCAAGTGTTTTGTGACAACAAGGCAACAATCGCTATAGCGAAAAATCCAACTTTCCACAGCAGAACAAAGCACATTGACATCCACTATCATTTCATCCGAAATTTGGTTGCAGAAGGAACAATAGCAATGAAGCATTGTGGGACCAATGAGCAAGTAGCTGATATTCTTACCAAGTCACTGCCGCATGCCAAGCACAAGTACTTCAAGACTCCAGATGGGAGTAACAAGTTTTGTAGCAAGGGGGAGTGTTGAATAGTGCTTCAAACTTAGTGGGTGATTTACTTCCTAATTATTAGGCATTATTTTGAGTTAGTGAACCATGTTTACCCACTTTCTAATTTAATTGCTTATTTTTAGTTAAAGTTAATTTTGCTATAAGTAAATTGGACCCCTGACGTTGCTTTTCAAATGAACAGAATTGGCTTTGTTTTCAACATAAAAAATTTCAATTTACCAACATCACTCTCACATATGCTGCATCGGGCGTCGCATGGCTCCAAATTTGAAGCGACCCCAGTGAAAAGCTCCAAATTTAGAGCGACACCCTAGCACAGTAGCATGTGTGAATTCATTGAAATAAATGCCATAAAAAATTAAAAAGGATTATTGTAGTTGAATTGTGAAAACAGATCCAATTGCAATCACTTGAGAGAGTCATCTCTCATCTCCCTTACACCGAATTTAAACAGGATCGAGAATTACGATGAGAGTTGTATGTACACACGTATTTGAACAGCAGAAATCAAATAGAAGATGATGTTATCTTAAATTGTTCGATGGTGTGGATTTG